TGTCTCATGTGCTCAGAGACACAACTTGACTGTGTTCTATCTGCAGTCTTTTTATAAAGAACATATTGTACCTGGTCCTGCTCTGGACATTTTTCAGGTGGCTTTGTTTTTTGGGGGGGTTTTTTTTTGGTTTTTTTGGTTTTTTGCGGTATGCAGGCCTCTCACCGCTGCGGCCCCTCCCGCTGCGGAGCACAGGCTCCTGACGCACAGACCCAGTGGCCATGGCTCACATGCCCAGCCACTCCGTGGCACGCGGGACCCTCCCGGACCGGGGCACGAACCCGCATCCCCCGCATCGGCAGGCGGACTCCCAACCACCGCGCCACCAGGGAAGCCCTTTCAGGTGCCTTTGATCAAAAGCAATACTGTCCTGATGAATCCACTACATGAGGTTAAGATGAGATAACCTATATGTCTTAAGCCACACAGCATGCATCTCTAGAGAATATCACAACAGTTACAAACCTCATATTCACCCTTCAAACAAGAAAAACTCATGAATGGCTTGTGCGTACTGGATGGAGTAGAAACTACCCTGCCTCTCTCCTTTGGTGAGGTATCTAATATGTGTTGGCCATCGACTACCTAAAATAGGCCACATGAGATTTATCACAAATAAGACTTTCTGTTGCAAAGAAATACTGTGGGTGTCCAGGGGGTAGTTTTAAATCTACCACTGAACCTGTCACTCACCCAAGCATTGAGATTCCAGGGTCCAAGCTTAAGCCTGCTCTTGGGGAGCTCCCAGTCCACAGTTGGGTGGGCAAGCAGGACAGGCAGCATGGGATGAGTTAGATTTGAAGGTAACAATGAGCAGAGTCACCAAGGGGTTAAGTTCTACTAACCACACATAGGGCAACTGCCTGGGAGCAAAAGGAGGGAGCATCTCATTACCTGTGCAATTACTATATTGTCTGCAAGGTGTCCTGTCATGAGAAAAGTCCTATTCTTTCTAGTTTCCTTTTTAAATCCAGCAAAAGCAAGGCCATTTTTCATCATCCTGTATTTTCCTGAGTTGTTTAGCAGTCAGCATAAACTGTCCATTCACATCACACTCAATCCGGCACCAGGTGCTGTTTCTGAGACCTCTGCCTGTATGAGGTGATTCAGTCCTCACAACCTCCTTACAGGGAGGACTGAGACATGCTACAGGTGTCCACAAGCATCAAGCAACTGAGTACTGGAGCTTTGCTTTGAACCACGGCAATCTGGACTCCGATCTTCCCTAATTCTACTCAATCCAGGGATGTGGCTGCAAACATCCAGCAGCAGCTTTGATATCAAAGCTCAGAGTGAAGCTCATAGCTCCGTTTCAACACCTGGAAGCTCAGTGTTCTTCCAATCAGACTTAGGAAACACCATGATTACATCAAGTCAGTAGTTTTTAAATAATTGAGGTTGAAAAAAGATAATTAAAAAATAAGTGATACTATTTCTAAGCATTTTGCTGCAACTAAAGCTTTCCACCAATACTGACGGGAGAACGTAAGTGGACAGGAACCTGCTGAGTTGCCCATCCCTCTCCATTTTCCTCCAACCCCTCCCACTCTCTGCCTGTGTGGACCACATCAAGAGGTTCTCATACCCAGGATTCCAGCTGTGCTCTGCAAGGGGAATCCCAGCAGGAGATGGAGTCTAGGTACAAGGGCTCACAGCAGTCATTATTTTGGACCCCTCCCTACAGGGTCCTTTCACTGAAGGTCACACAGCTCTTGTCAAGGTGGCCTTGTGTGTGCACTTAATTGTCTTCGTAAAATATAAACAAAAATATCTGAATTTTGAAACGTATCTGGCACCAAGAATTTCATGTGGAGACTATGAACCTTTCTGTACATAACAGCTTGAGCAATATGGAGTTAATTTCAGTGTACATTTTAGATAAAGATCCCTGCACATCGGGGAACTATCTCTTTGCCAGATGCATATGAATTGTGACCATGGCCCTTATTCACTTTTCTTTCTTCACTGTTGTGCCACCTCTTGCACTTGGGTCCTTCAGGGTTCTCCAGTCACTCACCAGAAGTCTATGGCAGTGGTCAGCTCTGTGTAAACATGCCCTCATACAGGTGCACCCTGACCAAATCTGCCTTTGAGCCCATGTACCAACAGCTGCTTCCCAGTTGGGGCTCCTCTGTTGCGTGGCCTTCATGCATTTATTAGCTGGATGCACCTGCAATTTGGCATTCCATGGGGAAGAACTTGGGCCAATGGATAAATGTTCCATCTTTCTCCCTGCAACCCCATGGACAGTCCTGAGACACATCTCATGTTTCTTCTCAGACAATCCTACTGTATGGAGTGACCAGTGACCCATAATGTAGCCAGATAGTGATTCAGCCTTGTTTTGACTCACTCCCTTCACCACCCTACTTCTCTGTCCCTTACTTCTCTTTCCTGGGATCACACTCTCCAATGAAGAACACCCACACAAGGCTTTGCTCTCTAGAGAACACAGGCTGAGTCAGCCACACATGATATTCTCACAATCATGAAATAAGTTGGAATCTATAAGAATCAATAAGAAGTTTGTTCATGCATTCCATTAACCTATATATTGTATCTACTAATGTGTCAGGCATTAACACAAGGCACTGAGTAGAGAAAAGCCTAGAAGACATGGACCATGCCCTTGAATCTAGCTGGAGAGGGGGATACCAGGGGACAGAGAGGTAAACAAATGATTATAAAGTGTGAGTTCTAGATTTAAGGCATAGTCTAATCATGCCAAATGCTGGTGAGGATGTAGAGCTGCTGGACCTCCCATATACTACTGTGGAAGTGCAAAGTGCTACAGTCACTCTGAAAAGTGGTGCAGCAGCTTATTTTAAAGCTAAACACACACTCACAATATGATCCAGCAGTCCCACTCTTTGGTAATTACCCAAGAGAAATAAAAACATAAGTTCACACAAAACCATGTACACAAATGTTTGGAGTAGCTCTACTCACAATCACCAAAAATTGGAAACAACCCAAATGTCCTTCAATGGGCCAATGGATAAACAAAATGTGGTATATCCATACCATGGAAGACTACTCAGCAACAAAAAGAATGAAATATTGATACCTGCAACAACTTGGATGAATCTGAGTGAAAGAAGTCAGTTCCAAAGGTTGTCTGATTCCATGTATAAGACATTCTCCAAAAGACAAAACTATAGTGATGGAGAACATATCAGGAGTCACCAGGATTAAGGCAGAGGGTGATACAAAAGAATAACACAAAGAAATTTTGGGAGGGGTGATGGAACTATTCTGTATTCTGATTATAGTGGCAGTTACATAAATATACATCTTTGTTAAAGTTCATAGAATTTTGAATTTGAAAAGAAAAGTCAGTTTTGCTCTATGATAATTTAAAAAATAAAGTAAGAAGGAAAAAGAATGATAATCATTGCTGTGCTTAGATTATGATGTTTAAATAAAGGAATGTATTATATGATGTCATGTTTTGTTACATGACATGACATGGTGTTATATGACACCACATTGTATTATGTGATGTCACATTGTGTTACATGGTGCAACTTATATGATACCACCTTGTAATGGGGCATCACATTGTGTTATATGATGTCACATGTTACATGATGCACATTGTGTAATGTGACATCACCTCATGTTACATGGCATTACGTTGTATTATGCTCAACTTACCCAGTATGTCATATTCAAAACAGCACTTCACCAAAGACGAATGATCATATCTCTATCTGCTGAAGCCCTGGGAAGATCTTGCATTAAATTTGCCCCTGTTCCCATTAAGAGAGTTACTGTAACTCTAAGGAAACTGTATTCCATTTAACATATATGCTAATCAAGCCTTTCTCTTAGTCAACCTCTTTCCCATCACAGTGAATATGCAAATATACAGATTATATATTTCTGTATGTATGTAGAGACTCACTCTGTCTAGAGATGCAGCCCAGTGTGTTCTAGGATCCCCAGATAAAATCATTTGTACACAATCTTAACTGAAAACACAAGATTTAAAAGCAGAAACAAAATAAGCCTTTCAAGCCCAGATGCAACAACCACACAAAAAGAGATGTGACATCTTAGTAAAAAGTATAGTCTTCTCAGGCTAAAATAAAAAGCTTCATGGTAATCAAGATTTTTTAAAGTCCATAGATATGGTAAAATATGTGACTTTAACTTTTAAAAGTATTATCATTTCTACAAACACCACTGCCAAGTGCTAACAAAATTGCATGCAAACTCCAATACATTTCTTCAGTCTTTAAAATGTGTGACGTGTTCTTTTAAAGTAGAATCTCAAATAAAATTAGAAACAAAATAACAAGGTCCTACTGTATAGCACAGGGAACTATATTCAATAAACCTCAATGGAAATGAATATGAAAAAGAATGTATATATATGTATAACTGAGTCACTTTACTGTATAGCAGTAAGTAACACATTGTAATTCAAATACACTTCAATTTTAAAAAGTTGTAAGCAGAACAATTGTAAGTATGATGGTGAAGTTTAAATGCAATTTTATGACCTCTTTCTCATAAAGTAGCTGTCAGTGAAATATTATAGATTTGATAGCTCCTGTAGCTGAGACAGTAACTTTCCTTCAAGCTTAATAACCTTTGCCAACATGTAGAAAAAATAAAGAAAACAAACAGAATATGTGGTGTGCTCCAAGGACAGAGAAGAAGATAACTCAAAGGGCCAATATTGCCAGAATAAAGAGTTACAGGACTCCCATTACTCTGTCACAATGCAACCACTGCAATGTCCCAGAGCCCTCCCAAGCACCTTGCCCTGTCCCTTTCCCATTCCATATAAGGAAAGACTTTGCCCTGTTTTTCTCTCGCTCAGCACACTGAAAGTATACGTACTCTGCCCAGTCAGCAGATGACTTATAGGTTCCCTGGCTAGAAAAACAGACAAGCAACCCATGCTCATTGTCGACTTTCCCTGACTACCGGGAAGTCAGTCCGCTGTTCTTGCAGTGACCCTTCTCTTTAATAAACCCTATCTTCCTTACATTCTGCTTTGTGTCTGGAAATTCTTTTCCAACCCGCACTCGGACCACAACAAAATAATCTGTGAACACCCAAAAGAATTAATTAATGGGACCCATCTGCCCACAAAATAGCAATTTTGTTGTACTTGTTTAATCTTTAGAGATATAAAGATTCCTAGTGGCAGCCAAGAACTAAAGGAGCAATGCTGTGGTTCGAATAACTAAGCCTGCCCATGTTATCCATCTATTTTACACAGTTAAGAAGCTTTAATTTCTACAGAATTCTTCAAATGTTGCAGTAAGTCAAAGTTTTATAAAAACATCTTAGCAGAGCTCGCTTTTGAAGGAAAACCATAGGTAAAGATTTTGTTTAAAGAAAATGCTCCTTGACACTTCCTCAAATTTAACTTTATATCTATACTTTCATGTGAGGTGGGTTTTGGAAGTGGTTTTATTTTGTTTTAAATAATGACACCAATAGAGATAACTATTAAATCAACTAGAAAGATCTAAGTAACATGGAAATGTTGATGGAGAGTAGAAAAATGCCAGGGTAAACACGATATCTGGTGAACTCATTCTACAAGATGGCCATGTGTCAGGTGGGGATGGGCCATGCAACCTAGACCTTGGGAAAGTACAAAGTGAGAACCATAAGACTGTGAAAGCAAGAGAAGAGAAATCCATGGGAGCAGGTGGGAGAATGGAGTTCTGTTGCATAGGGAAAATGGATGCACCATTGGGTAAGGAGAAGGACCAGCACAGACTTCTTGTAATACTCTGGCCCCTTCACTAATGTCTCTCATCTAATTATCAGGTCGGGTTGCACAAACTGCAGGACTGTGGTCTTGATGACATGACCTCTGATCTCTTCTAGAGGTGTTTCTCAGGTAACAGTTTGAAGATCTGATTATTAAGTATGATAGAGATGATGCTATCCACCCTGTTCTCTATCCCTTCTAATGTTAAACCTGGAGGGGCTGAGGACCCATGGCACTGAGATGTATATCTCTCTCCCTCTCCATCCTCCTCTCCCTCTCCTCCAGAAAACTATCTCTCTCAGGCCTCACCAGTATCTGGGAACAAGCTTTGAAACATTCCCTTCCAGACTGTGATGTCACTTGAAAGGCCTATCAACAAAAGCTACCCGCAAAATTAGACTCACCAATATCAAGATGAACACCAGGGACAAACGAATTGAGAAAGAACATGATGATAACAAATCCCAACACTGTCAGGCATTTGGCGAGCAGAATCCTGTCTGATATCCTGTGCTGTGAGAGAGGAAAACACAACTCATTTACTCAATGTAATCTGATTTCTGCAATGTGTCCACAATCCTACGTGATTTGAATCACTACAAATTTCTCCTTATGATGAAAAATATAGCAACTTGAACTTGAAAGATAAGATCATGTGTTACAAGGAAAACTGTACAGATTTAAGATTAGAGCATTCAAAATCTTGAAATCAAAATCTATGAAAAATAAACATTAAAAAATTTTAAATATAGTACAATCCTTTTTTTTTTTTTTTTTTGCGGTACGCGCGCCTCTCACTGCTGTGGCCTCTCCTGTTGCAGAGCACAGGCTCTGGATGCGCAGGCGCAGCAGCCATGGCTAA